CAGGGTGTGGCTGGGGCTGCTCAGGTTCCCCTGGGCACACCCTGCCATGGAGCAGCCAGCCTGCTCGGGAAGAAGCACTTGTGCCAGCCCTGCTGCCTCCCCTCTCCAGGCCCCCAAACAGCTTTGCTCAGGTCTGTGACATTGTTGCCACTGTCCCAGGCCATGAGCACTAGAGAAGAGCCCACAAGCTCTTCCCAAACAAGGGGTACACTTGATAGCAGAGCTCCTGCTGTGCTCACTGGCCGCTGGGACAGGCATGACTGTCCCTGTGGCATATCCCCATCAGTTGTCTCTCTATCCCCATCATCACTGTGGGCACTCACGGGAACTTCACACACCAAAACCACAAAGGCAAAGGACTGTGCCCCCTGTCACAGCCCCTGCAAGCAGTTGGGTGTCCCCTCAGCTTTCATCGTGCCTGGTCCAGCACTCAAGTCGCAGCAAAGGCATCCAGTCTGGCACAACTCCTTCGGCACAGCCGGATACCCCAGTCGCCAGGCAGATCAGGGCTGCAGCAGGTACTTCTCTTCGTTCCTTGACTCATCCACATCAGAAGCTGGGGTTTTCTTGGGACATGAAGGGGTCCTGCAGGCTTTGCAGAGGATGAGGAAGAGGATGAGGATGAGCAACGCGATGACACAGTTAAAAGAAATTGCCACGATCGCTCCGGTGGAGAGAGCAGCCGCCATGGCCACTGTCCCACAGGAATCGGTGGGGCCCGCAGCCCGGTCTCACACTTGGGATGCTGGGGCACTGATCGAGCGTGCAGCCTCCACCTGCTGGCATTGGCAGGGGACAAAGGGGACGGCGTGGTGCTGGCGGTGGGATGGCGATGGGGCCAGGCTGGCAGCAGGACAGTGTCACTCCGTCAGTTCGGCCGCTCACAGCTGTGTCCCGGGCTGCACCACACCACAGAGAAGCTTTCTCTCGGCTTCCCCTCCCCCGGCAGGGCAGTGAGGACACAGGGATCACTGTTCTCCTTCAAGCACCTGGAAGAGAGAAAGTCACTGTCACCGTGGGCATGAAGAGACAGGCAGTGCGAGCCCCTCGGGGACAGCGACCCTAAAGCCCCCGGGGCTCCGCTGGAGTTCGAAGGCTGCAGCAGCTCCCAGGTCAGAGCTGGCTGGGGGACATTTCCAGCACCCCTTTTCAGCCTTGGCTCTGCCCCTCATCCTCTGCGTGGGCCACCAAGCTGGAGGTGTCCCCAGTGGGAGACCCATCACCTCATCCCGGCCCAAATGCTCCTCCCCGTGCACTCCCGGGTGACTCCGGACAGCCTTGGCCCCGCTCCGATCCCCTCGCCACCTCCAACTCCTTTTTCTGCCGGCGGGACGCCGCGACAAGGTCCGGCATCCAGAACGGGGCCGGGGCAGGGGAGGCGGGCAGCAGGCGGGGTGACAGGGCAGCCCCTTTGTGGTTTTTACCGGGGTCGGGCAGAGCCCCGGCTGCGGCGCTCCCTGGGGACTCTGACCCGCACCCGCCGCGGAGCGGGACAACCACGGAGCTCCCGGAACCGGACAGCAACAGGTCCCACCAACTCCGCCCTCCCGCCGCGGGGCCCCGGCGTTACCCACCTGCCTCCGCTTCTCCCCGGGTACCGCCGGGACCCCGGTGCCGGCGGGAGGGCGGGCGGCGCTGCCGGGGCCGGGGCCCCGCTGGGAGCGGGCTGGCGGCGCGGGGTCCCGGCGCGGAGCGGCCCCGGCGCGGCCCCGTGGAGCGCTCGGAGCCGGCGCGGTCCCGCCGCGGCCGCCCGTGGGTGCCGCAGCCCCGCGCGCCGCCCGCGCCCTCCCGCCGGCATCGGGGGGCGGGCCTTGATGGAGCCCCGCCCCCACCCCGCCATTGGTCGCCCCTTCCGCCCGCCGCCTGCCATTGGCAGAACGTCCCACTCGGGACACGCCCCCTCGCTCGGCTCCCACGTGAGCGGTGGAGGGGACAACACCGGGCAGCGCGCGCTCTGCCGGCCCGGGCCGGGACCCCGCCCGGTACTGCCCTGATACTTCCAGCAGTACTCTCACGGTACTGCCCCGGTACTCCCCCACTACTCTCACGGTACTGCCCCGTACTGCCAGCGGTACTGTCACAGTACTGCCCTGGTACTGCCCCGTACTGCCAGCGGTATTGTCACGGTACTATCACCGGTACTGCCCTGGAACTGCCCCGGTATTGCCCCGTACTGCCAGCGGTACTGTCACGGTACTACCCTGGTACTGCCCCGTACTGCCAGCAGTACTGTCACGGCACTGGTCCCGGTACTGTCACTGGTACTGTCTCCGATACTGCGCTTGGTGGTGGCCTCAGTTCTGCCCTTGGTGCTGCCTGTACTGGTCCCAGTGCTGCTCTCCCGCCTGCCCTGCCCTGCCCGGGGGCCACCGGCTGCTCTCCCTGCTGCGCCTGCCCTGCCCCTGCACACACCTGCGCGCACACACAAACACACACACGAACACACGTGGTCCCACACACATCGGGGCTCGAGGATGCTGAGGATGGACTTTCCAGGCTGGGCTGGGGTCCTTCCCGGGTCACAGGAGCTACAGGCAGGCAGGTGTGGGCTTAGACCCCATAATAACTCAGGGAGAGAAGGGAAAATCAGGACTTGGGAATAAGATCAGCCTCACCAGCACAGCCGGCTTGTCCTGTCGGTGTGGACGCTGAGGTACAGGGCAGCCTGACCCTGTGCATAGCTGCCAGCTTCCAAATAGGCATTGGAGCCAGAGAAGTGCTCGTGTGGGGCATCACCCCAAAGAGTGGATATTCCTATCGAAGGACACTTAACGGCATCCAAAGGAAATGACTGGGAGACAGGAGGAGGGGCTGGAGGGGCCCTCAGGGTCCTCCCTGGAAACCCGCAGGGATCAGCACCTGCAGTTGCTCTGAAAAGCCACATCCAGGCCCCACACATGCCTGGTGACACAGATGTACAGCAGTGACTTCAGGGTCTGTGGCAGCCAGGCACACATGGTGTGCCTCCATGGGAGAAGAGGCAGCTGGATGAAGGATGGGTGAAGGGCAGAGCCATAATGGAGCTGGGACATCCCTCAGCTGACCTGAACCCAAGGGTGTGATGGTCGGGTAAAGCTCCGTCCTGAAGGGAGAGACACCAAGTCAGCCGAGGATAACTTCCAGTGAAACAGAAATAACAATCACTTTGCAGCTTTGATGAGGTGGCTTTAAATGTGCCACGGCCATGAGGGAGGGTTACACAGGCTGCCTGAGAATCTAGCTCTCGGCTCTCTTCGAAGAGGGTGTTTTGAGTAAACACAGACACATTGCCAGTTGAAATGTCAGAAGCCATCTGATCAGACACTCAAGCATCTTCCTTGGCATTTATGGCTAATCTGCTAATTAGTCAAGAAAAGCAGTCTCCTCCTTAGATGTAAAGGAGCAGCAGCTGGGAACAGCACAAAGATAAAACAGATTAACTCTGCCCCATCCCGAGGACTCACATCTGCTTGCACAGTAGATAGGTCGAAGCGTTTCCCTGACTACTTCCAGGCAGTGGGGCAGGAAGCAGTGAGACCTCCAGAAGACGAGGAGGAGGCATGTAAACCTGGCACAGTCCTGGCTGCACTGGGTGCTCGTTTGGATGCAAGGCAGGTGTCTGTGCACCATGCAGGCCGGTGGAGTCTTGTCTGGTTGCACCTCTCCTGCTCCTCCTCATTTAGGTAAAATCTCTTCTTTCAATGCTTGTATTGTTACCATTTAACCACAGTGCAGAGTTCTGGGTCCAACTGGAGCTCACTACTCAAGCAGCAACATGGGAAGAGCGAGCAGGACAGGGAATGCTCAGGCCACCATGTGAGCAGGGGCTGTTCAGGTGAAAGCTCAGCCTGTCAAAGAACAGCTCTTCTCTCCAGCCCAGAATTACTTACCCAGATCTGCTCCAGGAGAGAAACCACTGCACAAGAAAAGATGATGTGTCCTTTGCCTCTCTCAGCAGAGCTCAGGACGAATCTTTTCGAGGCTGCAGTTCCAACCAGTTAAAAAGATGGGAAATAAAACTGGCAAAAAACTTCGCAGAAAAAAAAGGAACTTTAATCTATTTTGGTTGTGAAAGGAGCTTAATATATGGGTATTAATCTCCCCTTGGATCCGGGTCCATTTACAGTCACGAGAGGAACAAACGCAGAGCAGCAGGAGGGCTGGAAGAGCAGAGCTTCAGCCAGCAACCACAGCCCCACCACCAATGCTTACAGGGTGACCTCCAGTGGGATGAGGAAGACATGACAAATTTCCAAGTTACATGAAGTTACACCTTTATTTTAAAGCCATCTTTGTGCATTATCAAGGAGCAAAAAGGGGAAAGAACAGGATCCTTTGGAGCTTCCCATTACCATCACCCCAGGACAGCTGCAGGGCCACAGAATTTCAGGCTGGTTACAACACGAGTAGACTGCTGCCTGTCTGGAGAGAGAACTACGACTGTCAGCTCCAAAGGGAGCTACATGCAGATGATGCCAGACAGAGCTGTATCCTGGCAGTCTTACAATCAACGCCCCTGACAGGCTCAGCAGAAGGACTCTTCAGGCACAGAAATGGCTGGCCCAGCCCTGTGCCCTGCTGTCTGTATGCTCATGAGCCTGGGCGATGCTGGCAGCTGCCTGGGGATTCCACATCAGGTCCTGTCTCCCCTTTGTACTGGTCAGAGCAGCCTGCACTTGGCACACAGGCGGGTGTCTCTCCCACAGCCCGGACTGCTGCACCCCCAGGCACCTCAAACCTTGCTAGGCTAGCAGCCTCTCGCTGGGGCTCACTGACAGCACAACAGCTTTTGCTCAAGCAGAGGCAATTCTCGTCTTCCATGAACCCTAAAGGAGTACAGCCTGGCAGCGTCCGGCACAAGAACTTGGCAAAACACATTTTCAGATAGCTACGATCACACCCAGTTTCAACAGTTTGCTCCTCCTGCCCTTCCCTCACCTCTGAGTGCCCCTGAGTCCAGCAGCAGCTGTGCAGCCACAGCCCCGGGCTGGTTTCTGCAGCTCCCCCGAACCATCCTGGAGCTGCTGCCTCAGGGCCCCTCCGGCATTCCCCTGGTGGACCGAGGGTGCTTCCCCGTGCTCCCAGCTCCCCGGCCTCCACCCTGCTTCCTCTTCATCTGTCCCTGCGATTCTGCTTTCAGCGTCTCAGTCCAGAAGGCATCAAAAGATCCTGGGGCCTGGTACCCCGGCTCCTGAGGATCCAGGGCATCTTTGCTCAGTAGGACACATATGGCGGGAATGTTTCTCTTCACTGTCAAGGCATCAAGGCCGGCCTCAGGCACAATGGGTTCCCAGATTTCTTCAATCTGTTTGAAGAGCACTTTGGTGATCTGGTGCAGCTCCTTGAGCCTTCGTTTCATGATTTCCACACAGGTGATGGTCTTGCTGACGGCCTTGCCTGAGCCAGTGAAAAGGATCTGCCTCACCGAGTCCTGCTCCATCTTGCTCATAGCATAACCCATCAGATTCCTAATTTTGCTCCCATCCTTCACCTTCATTTCAATAATATCAGCAGGCAGGTCACTGAAAGGAGTGGGACAAGGTTTCTCCACAATTTTGGTCTTCTTATAGTTCTCCATTCTGCAGTGCTGAAAAGGAAAACAGACCCATGAGCACCCAGCCCACTGTAACTGCTGCACAAAGAAATTCTCACCACAGTTGGCTATGGTCTTTTCTCTGAAGGGCACTCTGAACTATCGGGGTTGGATATCCTGGAAAGGCATAACCAAAAGATTAGCCCAGTCCTCATAAGGACATACCTACAGTATGAATGTTATCACATCACAGGGCAACCTGAGCCTTGGCAGGCCGGCTGTGAAAAAAACCAGCATTAGTGTTGTGGGCCTAAGCAGGGTAACGTGACTGCTATATCTCAAGAGAAGAGAGAATAAACAAGTGAGCTGGAGTGACTGAGAACAGACCTCGGGGATGCTGGCGACAACTGCACCAGAACATGCACAGGATGAATTCAAGCACAGTTTACATGCAGCACCTCGTGTTACAGAAACAGGCTCATAGGGACTTGGCCAGCCCAAATGAGAGTAAAACACTGCATGTCACAAGGGAGATGGCAAGCCAGGGGTTGCAGGAATAAAAAAAACGTTTCCTCTAGGGAAAGACAGAAAAGCCAGGTCTCACAGCTGCCACCTCTGCTAAGGCAGGTGCCATCGTGACCTAAGTCCGCTTGGCCCTGTGCAAGGCACTCCACGTCCGCACCGCACAGCCCAAGGCGATGAAGGTTGCAGTACTTTGTTACCCGCAGGCTCCTGAGTCCCGCTGGGCTCAGATTCTGCACCCCGCACCTCATCCCCCTCAGGGATACGGCAGCGCGGAGCCCCCGCTCCGAACCCTGGGAGCACACGAGGGCCTCACCCACACACAGCCGTCGCCGCTCTCGGTGCCTGGGGGCCCGGGAGGCCGGGCTACGGCCCGGGGGGAGCCGGGCTGCCGCAGTGGGATGCAGGAACGCCGGGGCGAGAGTCAGGGATATTCCGGTGTGCAAAAACCTCGCTCACCTGCGGCCGCCTCAGCGCGCCCTTCTGCACAAGATGGCGGCCGGCACCGGGAGCGCGCAAGCGCGAGGCGGATGGGCGGGCCTTGGTGCCGGGGCCACGCCCATCAATCACCCGAGTGGGCGGTCGGGAGATGGGCGGGGCGAGGCGCGGCCCCGCCCACCGGCCGGCCCTGCTGATGGAGCGGGCTCGGGGCAGGGCTCGGGGCAGGGCCCGGGGCAGTCCCCGCTCCCACCGCACATCTTGCTCTCCCGGCACCCCGCGCACACACGGTGTCCCTGTGCGCGCCCACGAAACGTTGTGCATGAGCTCCCAGCCTTACCTGAGCTCCCTAGGCAGCTAGCTGGAGGGAGCGGGGCTTTTCCGCAGGCCTGCACTGTGGTTTGACAACCAGCGATGTTGGTCATCAGGGAGAGTACAGGGACGGGCAAGCTCTTCTGGACTTCCTGTGGGGATCCTGCCCCGTTCCTGCCAGGACTCCCAGGTCACATTCAGCTGGGCAGTGTCTCACCAACCTGAAGGGTTTGAGACCCTTGCAAAAGCATGGCCTTGGAAACTCCAGGCAAGGCATGGCTTGAGCCCCTGTCTTGGGGTGACTGTATGATGCCTATATCCCCAAATCGTCTGTTCTGTTGGTGTTGAATATTAAATTCTGCCACTTTAAGACTGGTTCCAGGAGTAAAGTGGGGGGGAAGAAGAAGTGCAGAGTTTGTTATCAGAAACTGCACTGGCTCCCCCGCATTCCTGCACACAGACGGTGTTGTCTGTGGTGGACAGGGAGAGAGAGAGCTCTCCTTTGCTCTTGGTTAGTTTTCTGGCTATCTGAGGCAGAGAAAACCCCTGGATTGTTCTTTTTTCCCTTTTTCTTTGGAAAGGGAAAGGGCCAGCACGGTCTTTGCAGCCTCAGAAAAGAAGGCAGGATAAAGGCAAAAGCTGCTGCCTTCTCTCAGCACAGAGATGGGAGAACAGCAAGGTAGGAAAGTTCCATGCAACCAGATTCCCTTGGGCACAGACAACTCACATAAAAAGGAAGAGTGCAGGGCACAGTCTAAGGAAGACTGTGGGACTGGAAGGATTTTACCTGCCCTTGGCCCAAGGCTGAAAGGAACCACTGGCCATCCCCTGGAGGCTGCCAAGAGATCACTGCCTGTGGAAAAATTCCCAGCCTGTGCCAGGAGCAGTCCTCACACCCAGGGAGAGACAGACAACCCATTTAGCATTCCAGGACTTTACTATGGTCCACCACAGTCAGCACAGGAAGGGGTTTTAAAAGTATGTTAAAACCAAGATGCATTTCAGAGAACTGGACGATTTGCAAACAGTGGCAGATTAAGGAGCAGCGTGGCTTTGACTGGGGGTTGGGACTGCTCTGTGTAGAGCTGGGTGCCCCAGGATCCTGCCACATCATTCCAGCATGCCAAGCGGGAAGGAGCTGGGACCAGTGGGATGCAAGCTGTGCCACAGGGGCCCTGGGCACGCTGCACTCCCAACTCTGCCATCACTCTGCCACAGGTTTCGCTAGCTTGGCCGCTTCCAGACGTGTCAGGATTTCATTCCACTGCACAAACTGCTTGGAGAGAAGAAGGGTCTGGACATGGTACTTAAGGAAAGTAATGTTGAAACCATGAGGAAGAAACCCAGGTCAGAGCATCCTGACAGCACCATTATGGTCCTGATTTCTTGGGAGAGGCCCAGGGCACCAGTGGATTCAATCCACCCAGTGGCTGAGCCACTGCACAGCACCAAACTCCCACGGGAGCCCAGGAGGCACCTGTGAACATCACTGCCATGCAAGGGCTTTCTACAGAGCCTCCCTAACCACTGTGGTTTTTGGGATGTGCCTTGGCACCGGGATCCTACACAGCCAGGAAAGGGACACGGGTGCCACCACATCAGAAAGGCTGTTAAACGCAGGGTTGGAGATCCAACAGGATCATCCCAGGGGGAAGAGGTCAGTTCAGCTGTTCAAGGCCTGAAGTTCAAAGGATACCATTTTGTTGTAATCCTCAAGGAGTGTCTTGACACTGTCAGTGAGATCATGACGCTTCTCCTGCAAAGAGGGGAGCCACACTGCATGAGCAATAAATAAGGTGAAGGACATCTCTCCCTTCCCAGTCCCTGACAGAAAGCACAGCAGGAAACTCATTCAAGGCCAGCACTGAAATCAATGCTCAGCCTCAGCCCTGGCTGTGGGTGCCCACTGCAGCTAGACAGGTTTTCACAACTAAGAGAAAGGTCACAAACACTGGTCTCATAAAACACCAAAGCCCTCAGGCTTGCACTGCTGCCTGCCTCTACTCAGTATCTAGGCTTTGCTTGCCCCAAAACAGAAACTGACAGCAAAATGCTGAAAGAGACCATTAGGAACTGCCCAGGCTATGCACTGCCAGCTGGAGGAGTGCTCATACAGGGAGGGAAAGGGTGAAGGGACAGGGTGACAACAACATTCCAGAGAATAGGACACTGGAGGAACGCAATGCTTCGCCTCAGTATTTCAGTAAAAGGGGGAATTCAAGATGGCTAAACTCACTGCCACTTACTATGTGTCATTAAAAGCTGTTTTCAGCAGGATTATGGTAGGCAAATTTCCAGCTTGGATACGATTGACATAAATCTTGACTCCTTTTCACCCTTGGAGTACTTAAACTTTTTTAAGACAGTAGTATACATATTCTGATTGCAAAAAACTGCCATAAATGAGCTATTCAAGCAATTAAAAATACAGTACAGTCACTGGCAAAAGGCTCCTTCTAGTCAATACTGATAGGAATATTCACGGTACCTGCTGCTGTATGTGGATCTGTGAGAGCCGCTGCAGTTTGGCTGCATGGTCAGGAACCGCTGGAAGCACAAAGCAGAAATCAATTTGAACTGTTTTACAGCACATGGGAATAGTTCCCAAAGTAAACCCCAGTCTTCCTCCATGTCCACAGCATGGCAGAAGTCCATTCACTGAGTGCAAGTGTCCCACATTACAGATAAAACTCATATAGGATTTAAAAAATCTACTTAACTACCCTGCACACGGCACGAGCTCAGGGATGCCCACAGCAAGGGCTACTCAAGAACTACACTGGAGTAAACCAGCTAGATAGCAGAAAAGGCATCTCTATCTATGCCAGGAACAGAGATGACCTGGATGTAAAAGAGCTCACAGGAAGGAATGAACTGCCAGATCCACCCTCTCTATCTCAAGCCTGCTTCACAAGCTACTCTATCACATCCTTGACCTTGTAAGGGAGGCTAGAGCAGCAGGAGGCAGGAGCAGACCAAGTCTGTACTCAGTTTACTCTCACACCACTAAGCTGTCCTCTTCTCTAGTCTCAGGCTCAAGAGAAAATAAAGCAAGCAGGACAGGCCACAGCTTAGCAAGTGGCATTTGCAGCTCCAGCTTGCAGAAGAACATGCCTACCTTGGATACTGGTGCTATCCAAGATGGGCTGGAGGTTCTTCACCTGCTCCAGAAGGGCTGCACGGGCAGGAATAGCCTGTTCCTCTGGTTGAGGGGGGACAAGAAGCAACATCACTGAACACAAAATACTGCTTTGACTTTTCAAATCGTGGTAATTTTTCCAGCTGATTTGTCTTTACAGAAAGGGGCTTGTTCATTACTTTATTTACACTTTTGTGCTGTTTGTCCCTTGTCTTGATTCACACCAATTTCATGCAGAATCTCCACCAAGTTCTAATGACAGGACAAAGAATAATGGGTACAAATTGAAAGGGGAAATTTAGGCTGATATTAGGAAGAAATTCTTCACTGTTTTCCAGGTTTTCCAGGAGATCATGGATGCTCCATCCCTGGCAGTGTTCAAGGCCAGGTTGGATGGGGGTCTGAGCAACCTGAGATAGCTGGAGAGGGGTCTCTGTCTACGGGACACCTCCAGTTGGGATGGGATGGTTCTTAAGGTCCCCTCCACCCCCTTAACATTCAATGACTCTATGGAATTCCACTCAGAGCTTATACTATCCCAGGTTGATCAGATTCCTTGGGTCAAAAGAGGACGAGGCTAGGGGGTGTTGAAATACACCCAAATGTCTTCTATTTTTGTCGCAGCCTGAAGAATACTGGAAGTGGGGTAAGGAAACCATTCGAGCTCCAGCTTTTCTTACCAGCCTTTGATTAATTTGGGGCTAAAGTGAATGATCAATATGGGAGAGATCAGAGCTGATAAAACTGCAGCATGGCTGTGCATGAAAGAGCACTGAAGGTGACAGACATTCTTGTACAAACCATCTTTCTGATACCTCCACAGGGCATGCCGTGCCACATCTTTACAACTGAAGAAAAGAAATCCATCCTGATCCATCTTAGGTAAAGGACCCTTTTTTTTTTTTTGCAGTGCTACAAAAGCCTCCTGTTTCCCCTCGTTTAATGCCATACCTGCCAAGATGAACTGCAGCTTCATAGCATCTGGAACAGCCATCCTGTCAATGTACTGGGGGTCAAGATATTTTATTACATCTTCAACTGGAGGGATAAACAGGGTTGGAGACAAAAAGTAGGGGAGATGTTATGGCATTCACAAGAGCAGCTTCACCTCCCACTATGTATCAGATTACTCTGCAAACACTGCTCACTTAACTACGTTTTTTTTCCCCCCAGATTAATTAATTTCTATGTGACTTTGGAGCTCCATGACCAAGAACTGACAAATGGCTCAAACCAGGAAACCGCTGCACTAGGGACAATTGGAAGTCTCGCTTTTTGTCTATTTAAGAATGATCAAAGGTGAGTGAAATCTGCTTCCTCCCACCCTCAGGACAAAACCAGCCAACAGCCCTCCATCCTGGTCCTTAAAGTCATACACAAATACATGGTTTATGCTTTGGTTTATGCATGGTTTATACTGAACAGCCACTGCAGACTTTCACTACTGACTAATGACCCTCCCAGCCCCTCCTGTGACAACACACAGCAAGACCTGGCCAAGAGGCAGCAATGCAGGACAAAATACCCTCCAGTTTGCAGGCAGCACCCCAGATCTGCCCACCGAGTGTGAACTTTATTGCTCCCACCACACACAGAGGGCAGAGCTACTTCAGCATGCCCAAGAAGTGCAGGAATTAATTTCAGGAGCTCATGCTCCAAGAGCTCTGCATTTCAGGCAGAGCAAATCCTGGCACTGACATAGGCACATGGAAAGTGAGCAAAAAGCCACCCGTTTCCCACCCCTGACTGCTGAGCTGGAGGATAGTGAACAAAAAAAACCTCACTCAGTTACTTATTTCTGTACCAAGTAATCCGAAATAAGGGCCCAAAATAAACATGTGTGGGGAAGATACTTTTGTTTAGAGCATCGAAACAGTTTAGAACTCCCCCCTCCCGCCCTCCGCGATCGAGGGATCCCTTCCGCAAGACCCGCTCACTTTTCTTAAAAAGGATTTTGATCCTCTCCCTTTTGCCGGCGATATTGCTCAGCGCCACCTGCACCTTCACGAGCTCGTCCGCCACCTGCAGACACACAGAGGGAGGGGCCGGGGCTGTCAGGCCCCGCCGGGCCGCGGCACCTCAGGCCTCACCGGGCTGCACCAGACGGCCCCCGGCCGCTCTCCGCAGCTCCCCCCCGCACCTTCCGCGGCCCGCAGCCCTCGCCGCTGAGGCCGATGCGCTGCTCCAGCTCCTCCAGCCGCCACTGCAACCGCCGCAGCTCCGCAGCGCCCGCCGCCATCTTCGTGCCGGGCGGAAGCAGCCGCGCCTCACTTCCGGCGCGCCCCGGCGGTTGCCATGGCAGCACGTTGCTAAGGCCCGCGGTTGCCATGGAGACGGGAGGGAAGGCCGCGTCTGGCGGAGCGCGGCGCCTCTCAGAGGATGCGGGGCGGTCGATGGCGATTTGCACTGCAGAGGGAGGCGTGCAGCCCTCCCGCCGCCTGGGAGGGTAGTCGATGGCCGCTTCATTCCGGCGTGATCCTCCAGGAAAGAGGCGCTTGGATGTATTAAAAGGAATTGACATAGCGATCCGTGTGGATGCAGGCCCTTTGAAATCCGGGAGGCTGCCGCCGGCTTTCCCCCAGGCCTCTGTCTGCCCGCGTTCACCTTTCTATTATCGACTGCCACAGGTGACACTCGCGAAGAAGAGAAGCACTAATGAATTGCGCAGCCAACCCCAGCCACACAGGTGCCTTCAGCTAGCACTCTCAATTACAAGGATTTCTGACAGGGATTAAATGAATTAATAGTAGCAGCATCTGCGACAGAAAAAGTTGAGAGAGTTTCCCAACTGCAGAGCAGAAGTATCCTAGGATGCACCGGGAAGACTGTAGCCAGCAGTCAGGGAGGTGATCCTGCCCCTCAACTCAGTCCTGGTGAGGGCACATCTGGAGTGCTGTGTCCCTTTCGGGACTCCTCAGCACAAGAAAAGCAAGGAGCTACTGAAGAGGGTCCAGTGAAAGCCACAAAGATGATTTGGGGTCTGGAGCATCTGACTTCTGAGGAGAGACTGGGGCCCTGTTCAGTCCGGAGAAAAGACTGAGTGGGATTTTATTAATGCATTTAGTATATCAAAGGCAGATATCAGAGGGGATGGTGCCAGACTCTTTTCAGTGGTGTCTTGTTACAGGATGAGAAACAATGGCCCTAAGCTAAAACAGAAGGAAAAACTTCTTTATGTTGATGGTGGCAAAGCAGCTGCCTAAGGAGATGGTAGAGTCTCCCTCTCTGGAGACATTTCAACCCCACCTGGACATGTTCCTGTGTCACTTGCTCTAGGTGACCCTGCCTGGGCAGGGAGGTTGGACTGTGTGATCTCCAGGGATCTCTTCCAGCCCTGATGATTCTGTGATTCTGCGAATTTTCAAAGCATCTTCTGAGGTCATTCTCTGTATTCCAGGGTGCAGCCTGCCACTGCCTCGTCATGAACAAATGACTTCAGCAGTGCCAGGATGAACATGGGCCTGGGTATTGCACTGCTGTAGCCCAGGCACCAGGGAACACCAAGTCAAGGTTCCAGGCCACTCTTCAGAGTGGCTAATAGCAGGTACTTTGCTAGCATTGCTAGTAATGTGGGCTGGATGGCTTTGGGGAATGCTCCCATTGCCCTTTGCTGAAAGCTAAACCCACTGTGCCCGGACAAATCGTTGTCCTTACAGGTATGCTCCTACTGAGCATTGTACAGGCCTACGAGGATGCAGGAGGGAGCTGTGGGGTGGCCCAGTGCCCCACAGCCCTTGTGCCCCCCCATATCACCTGCAGGAGCTGTGCAGAGCACTCAGACTGCAGGAGAAGGCTGAGGCTCCATGTGTGCTGCCTCTTCTTCCCAGAGATCGATAACCGGGATCTTCAGAGGGGAAGAGCTGAGCTTTGTTCCACAAAGGCAACAAATAGAAACGGCTTCATTAGCAGAAGCACCTGGGGGCTGCAGGGGAGGGCCAGGGGCTGTGCACACAGCGATAGCCTGTGCTTAGAGGGTATCAGCTCTACCGCGGCCTGGGCCCAGCATGGTGGACAATGCCCCAAACACACAAATGCCTGAGGGTCCCAGACCACCCAGTACCCTGAGGTGAGAAACTCAGGCAGTCTTGAGGGGCTTTGGGACTATCCCCATCCACCCTTAAGAGTCCCATCCAGTTTGCAAGCCTTGGAACAGAGTGCAGCTACAGCACTGATTGCTCACAGTCCAGCACACAGGGTCTGTTCCCTGCTCCTTGGGAATGAGAGCAGGCCTTTGACCACATCCCCATCCCTGGAGCCCGCAGGGACACACTGATTCAACCACTTGCTCCCCAGCCCAGTGCTGAAGCTGGATCCAGTGCTCCATCATCCTCCACGTCCCCTCATCCTCCACCTTCTCCCTTCTGCTCAATTACAGTCCCTGCAGGACATGGGGAAGCAAGCATCAATCACGGTTGGTTACTCAGGTGACAGCAGCTGTGTCCCCAAGCTCCCCAGGGAGCATGGAAACACACATCACCCTCTGAGCCTGGTAATGAGTGGGGACGCGGGCCTGCATGTGCCCTGCCGGCTCCCTGGGGCTGCGGTGCTCGATGAGCTGTGGCCAGCACTTCACAGCAGTGCAAAGGGACACAAGACCCCAATTACAGCTGCATCAATCCCACTCCAGCTCTGCCTGGTACGCTCACAAACAACCCCCACACACATACACACGCCTCTCTTGTTCATGAACCTTCGCCCATCCCTGGTGGCCAGACCCCCAGTCCTCTGCAGGGGTTCTGTGTCACCCCAATGCCCTCGACACGTTTCCTGCGTGACACCCTCACCCCTCGTGTCTCCCTCGTGTCCCGAGGCTGGGTCCGGGGCGGGCAGCATTGCTACAGCACCCTGGACAGCGACATCGCTCCCCGGATGGGCCTGGGGGTCTGCGCTGAGGGTGTCCTCTTGCCCTGGGAATCCGCGCTGGGGATGTCGGCGGGAGTCTGGGTTGGAGCTGCCCCCAAAGGACCGGGGCTGTTCCCGGAGTACTGGGGAGTGTCCTCGAGGGGCTGGGTTGAGGCTGTCCCCAGGAAGCTCAGGGTGTCCCCAGGGGTCTGAGTCTGGCCTCAGGGGGGGACTCTCAACCAGGAGTTTCTGCCCCCTTGGGTGCCAGGGACCAGTCTTCGTGGTTGCCTGTGGCCGGAGTGTCTGTCCCCACGGGGGTCCCCTGTGCCTCTTCAAATGTACAGGTGGCTGCACAAGCGTGGAAGTCCATGTGTGAGTATTTGAGTGTGCTGGTCTGAGCGTACATGCCACTGAGTTTGTACGAGGGTGCACAAACGACCACACACATTCGTGGGAACCTCCCAGCTCTACCATGGTCACCTGTGTCTGCTGTGGGCACTGCTCGGATACCAGGCTGGCGCAGCACTACTGGCATCTCGCCACGTGCAACCTCACAGCCCTATGGACACGGTCTCAGTGGCTCCAGTGTCATGTTTCCTTCCCTGGCACAGGGCAGCCTAATGGGATCCCCACCTATGGGTGAACTGCCACTGGGGGCTCATGGGGGGCACAGCTGGAGTTGGTCTGATCCAGCCCATGTCTGAGAGCTCTGGTGGGTGTAGGGCACTTGCTTGCAACTTGGAGATCTCCGAAACTGAGCTGGAGGTAAGCATGAGGTGGGCTGTGAAACCTCAAGCACTGCAGCTGTTACCCCAAGGTATCACGGACTTTCGGGGTGTCCTGCACCCCCAGACTGGGCGCAGGAGCTCGGCGGGTGGCACCACGCCCTGCACACCACCCTCAGCACGGGTTTGGTTCAGGAGATCGTTTCATTTAATAGATACACGGAGTCGCGCGGCTGCGGAGGGAGTGTGGGGAACAAGCCGGCGCTGGCGAGCCCCCCACGCTGAGGTAGAGGTGAGTGTCGCTCCACGCTCACCTGCTTTGGCACCCTGGAGCACACGCAGGAGGAGGAGGCGCCTGCCCAGCCCCAACGAGGTAGTTCGGAGTGCCCTCTGTCTCCCTGTCACCCATGTGGGGCACCCAGGCAGTCTTTGGTGGTGGGGAGGCTCTGCTGGACAACCCTGCCCTCCCTCCACCAAAAAGCCCCACCCCGACATTAACCCCTAACCCCAGCCCCACCCCAATAAGCTCCACCCCCACCATTCCCACCAATATCCCCATTATTTGCCCCCCCCAGGGTGATCCCCCTGAGCTGAGGACCTGGGGGGCTGAGATGCCACCACCCTGGGGGTGTCTCAGGGCAGGGGCAGCAAGCCCAGGCAGCACAGGAGGGCTGGGTAGGGGTGTCTGCAGTGGGTAGGGGGTGCAGTATATATATAGGGGCTGCAGTGTATAGGGGCTACGATTATTAGGGGCTGCAGAGTATGGTGCCTGCAGTGTTTGCATGGAGGGTGTGTATGGAGAGGCCATGTGGGCATCAAGGGTGAGTGCAGGCGATTCAGTGTATGCACTGAGGCGTGTACAGGGGCAGTAGTGCGTGCATTGATGTGGGTTAGGGGCTGCAGGATGTAGGGGATGCAGCATGCAGGTCCTGGGGGTCCCCAGGCATCAGGGCAGCAGGAGATGTATAGGAGGGTTACCTGGGAGCGTGCTTTGGGAAGGAACGTATGCGTGTGTGTGTGTGTGTGAGAGAGGGCACGTGTGGGGATGAAGGGACAAAAGGGCCAGCGCGGGTGTTCACAGCCTTGCATGGACGCAGCTCAGTATTGCAGCAAGAGGCACCTTTGTCCCACCGTGGTGGCCCAGCTGGGTCCCACAGCTCAGCTCCCCAGACTCTGGGCACCCTCAGCTGCTTTCAGGGAGCCTGCTTTATGGCGAGGCGCTACCGGGAGTGTGGCTTTGAGAGGAGGCTGGGAGCAGGGGGTTTGGGGCAGGCATGGGGTTTGGACGCATCTGGGCACTCCCTCCACCAGGTGCCAGGGTGGCTGAGGGCCGGCGGGCGAACAGGACACCTGGGGGACAAGAACAAGCAGGTTAGGGCAAACCCAGGGTTGAAGAGGATCGTGGCCCAGCATCCAAGCTGGGGAGTGTGGGACCAAAACTCATGGGAGTTTCAAGCCCCTCTCTTCACCTGTGGTGTCTCCCCTCCCCCAGGCATCCTTGCCTGTGTGGTGCAGCCGGTAGGGTGGCCCAGAGCCCATTTGGCTGGCAGCCCCACATGATGCTTAGCCCTGACCTTTCCAGCTCATTAAATATTTAAGTTCTGAAGGCAAAGCCATCGATTTTAATTGTGGGGTGTCTCAGCAGGACACGCATGGATCTAGGGGGCACGGGATGGGCTGCTTAGCGAAGCTGGTGCACACTGGCACCCCAAAGGATCCTCTGCTCCAGCAAAGCACCCCAACATCTTTCCCTGCACCATGCTCTGCAATCAGCCAAGCCCCACACCCAGCCAGAGATCCTCTGGGCACACAAGCACTGGGGTGGCCCCAAATCCAAGCCCTGCCTTTGGGACCTTGGGATGTGGTATGACCCAAGGTGCAGGGTCCCTTCTCAGCCAGAGTCTGTCCATCTGTCCATCTATTCAACTTTAGCCCTTTATTGCTAGCACCTGCTTTGGGCCAACTTCCATCCTTGTCAACCCCCTCCTTCTCCTGCCCCCTCTCCCCAAGCCCTGCCACTTCATTACGATGGATTTTATAGTAAAGACATCAGATTGAAGGAAGGACTTGCTGGCCAGGCAGTGGCTGTAAGTTATTGGATTTCCCGGCCGCAATTACACGGGCCAAGCGGCCCTTCTATTTACCTGTGTAGACAACTCCATTTATTTCTATTGACATGTTGATACTGCTAATGCTGTTGGTGGACAGGTTCAATGCGGTCTCCTGTCTGTCATCTGGGGAAAGGAAATACCAATATGAGTGTTAAGCAAAAGAGAAACAAGAACCTGTCCGAGACAGATAAGCTGGGACTCAGTCCCTCTGGGCATCCACACTCCTCTCCAGTTGCTGCTGCTGCTCCCACCTCGGATGCCAGGGAAAGAGACAACCAAGGCTGAGGTGTTTCATCTCGTTACCTCGGTTGGAGATCTTGATGTTCATGGGGAACTGGGAGGCCATGGCCAGGAGGTTGTGCTGAAGTGCGTGTTGCACCAGCCGCTGCTGCTCCTCGGCTGTCAGGGCCACCTTTTTCTCTGGGGGCTCCCCTGTCTCCAGCTTCTCCCGCAGCTGCTCCAGTACCACTGCCTGTGAGGCAGCTGCTGCTTGGGCTGCTGTGAGATGGTGGCCGGCCAGTCCCACCGGGATAGCGATGCGCCCTGGCACTGATGCTGCCAGCATTCCGTCCTCTGCAATGACCAAGAGAGCTCAGCCGGTCCCTCATCACCACTCCACCTCACCCAGAGGTGCCAACTCCACCCCAACAGCAATGGGGCAGGGCAGGCCACCACTCCCAACATCTGGGCTTGGTCCTTGTCCAAAGCCAGGGAAAATACACTTGTTCACTCAATGAAAGAGACTAAAAGAACAACATTGCTCCTATTTTCCCCAAGCAAAATGGGCAAGAGCAGACAGGGAACATCCCTGCTGCTAGAGCAGTGTCCATCCCTGGGAAGAGATAGTCATTGCCAGGCAGATGGAATCCTTACCCACCTTTCTTAACACTGTGCACTTGGCTGAGCTGGCCACAGCTGTGTGTGGAGATGCTAAGAGCTGGCAGAGGCATTTTGGGGGTGCCCAGCAGGGTTGGGGTGCTGGCTGGCGAGTAGTTGAAGAGTGCAGTGCCGAAAGTCTGCCTCCGCCCCTCCCGACGGTTGCTGTCGATGGCAGCTTGGAGCTCTCCGGGAGAGCTGAGCGCCCGCTTCTCACATTCGTAGGGATACAGGTACTTCATGTATCTGCACGGGGAGAGAGCCAAGGGAAATCCACGGTCATGCATCTCCCAGCCAGTGCTGTGCTGAGCAAAGAGCCCTTGGAAGGAGCAGAGCCCTCCATCCACTTTTGTGGTATCCCATGTCAGACCCCATGCAGGGCTCTGGGACACCTTAGCCAGCAGGTGCCCCAGGGCAGGTGTCACCACCCTAGGGCAGGTGCCACCACGCTGCCAGGCACTCACTGTGTGCGGAGGGTGAAGGCAGCGCTGGTGATGGAGGTAGGTAGGTTGAGGCCCTTGGTGATCTCCCGCCAAATCTTCTTGTTGATGACTTCGACCAGGCCACCCTTGTCTGTCACCAGCTGGTACAGTGTGTACAGGTCCAGCACTTGCTTGGCCATGATGGGGATGCGGTTCACTGGCGTCCCTTCCACAGGCACACAGAAAATAGAAGAGGGTGTGGGGGGCTGCCCACAGGGGCCCTTTGTACCTGGGAGCACAGCCCCCACCCTCTCCCCAGCTGCCACTGCAGGTACTCACAACGGGAAGCACATCTCTCCATGCCCAGGTGAACACTCATGGGCACCTGGGGTGCAGACAGGACCCCAGGGTGCCTGGCACTGTGCCAAAAAAGCAGGGGAGACCCCAGCATGCTGGCAGAGGGTCAGTCACCTTTGATGGAGCTGTCAGTCGGCTGGGTATGCTCTTATGTGGGATGGGCACAGTACCTGGAGTCACAGTGGGATGGGCAAAGTACCTCCTCCAACCTTAGATAAGGTTGTCTCTCCACAATTCTCAGAGCTATCTGTACAGCACCAATCTAACAAATCTCTCAGAGCATCCTAGAATGACTTGCTCTGTAATGCTCTTTCAAAACCTCATAAAGAGAGACTTCATCTACACTTTAGAGACCCATCCTATAACCTTTCTGAAGAGGGATGACCCCCACGACCCTTCTGGGAGGACCATTTCTCTATGGAGAGGTTTTCTCTTCCAGCTCCACTCTTCCAAAGAGTTTCTGGAAAACCTCTTGACTCTACAGATGGCCCCAGTAGTTTCCTCTGCTTAAAGGACTTTAGTGCCCTGCTTCAATAAACCTGACCCCAAATCCTCTTCAACTGCTCTCAGCAGAGACCCTGATCCCTGGTGCCCCAGCATCACCCTTTCTCTATGAGGCTAAGAGGCAAGGGAACATGGCCAGGGTTCTGTGAGCCCAGTATAAATCAGCATGGTCTCCACAGCCACCAAGCCTGGCTAAAAACCCCTCCCCACTTTCTCTGCACCCCCAAATAACCCAATAGCCTTGCTGTGCTCCATGCCTCCTTGGGATGATGGTCTGAGCATTCACTGGAAGCTGGGCAGAGGAGGGACAAGCATCACATCCTATCCCACCCCGTCCCATCCTGTGCCATTCCACCCCGTATTTATTCCTCCTGCGAGGTGGCAGGGCACAGGCAGTATTGGAAACCCATCCATTTGGCCGAGGGAGGCTGTCATGACTGCGCTTTGCCCCTCAAACGAAGCCGTCATTCACCGCCATCCTCCAGCATCCCTAATTTATGGCCCTGATATTGGCTTGGCTTCTTCACATAAGCCTGAAAAATGAGCTCTTTTTATTCTTTTACTGAGTTCATTTAACTCTTTTTTTTTTTTTTTTTCTTTTCTGTGTGTGTGTGTCTGTGTTGTTCACCAGGTTGGGAAGGGGGAGAAGAGTTTATCCTCCTGGGAGAAAGGCAGAGATATCGACTTGACATCTGCTGTCGGTAGCTCACCTGCCCTGCTCGGGGCTGCTGGCAAAAGACCCATCACCTCGGGGGGCCCAGTTTGAGGGCTCTCCTTCACCCCCAATGCCAACGAATTTGCAGGGTCCTAGCCCTCAGTCAATGGTCCATGGATTTCTTTTCTCTTCTCCCCTCTCCAGCCTTGGTGGCTTATGAAAGTGCCTCACCATTAATCTCAGGGCTGTGTGAGGTGCATGGCTGATGCCTGTCCCACTGACAAAGGCACCTGTCTGCATCCCCACAGAGTGATGGCCCCAGCCCCAGCCAGGGCCAAGGGCACAAAAGCCCAGGGAGGTGATACAGTCATTGTGGTGCTGCAATTAGCGCCTTGATTGATTAATAGCCCTGTGCTATCAGCAGGGCACTCAGCTTGGTGCTGAAATATAAAGGGGGGGCCTGCAGATCCCAGTAAGCAAATGCAGGAATAGCCCCCTTCTGTCCCTGTCTTTGAGGTGCCTCAGAAGCTGGGGCATGGCCATGAGCTGCCTCATTGCCTGTATCCTGTGTCCGATGGTGGTGGTGGTACCGCCTCCAGGAGCCACCAGGGCCAGCTGTGCCTTTGTGCCATGGGCTGGCCTCAGAGGGTCTGCCTCACAACACATTTTTCAGCCCTACAAATTTTCCACTCTTCTGCTAAATGTCAGTGCTGATAACTGTCCTGACAGACAGTAGGGGAGACAAAGTCCCTTCCAGCAGGGCTCACCCTGTGGATATCAATCCCTCCTGGAGACCTTGGGGACATAGCCTGGGTGTCACAGTCCCCTGCCTATGCACCTCTGGGTGCCTCAGCTGCGTCTGCAGTGGTTCTTGGGTATTGTTTCTTAGCCAGCTCTTGAGGAACCCTGAGACGCTGTCCTTGTACCTCAGCCCTTCTGTCCACTTTCTCTTTGGTACCCCAGCCCAAAATCCCTGTCTCCTCCAACAGGTTCATGCACACCTGCACGTGTGCATTCACACCCCGCCTGCCCTCCCCAGAGGGATAGCACCCACTTGGAGAAGAGGCAGGACCGAAGGGATGGAGGGCACAGGAGTGGGACATCCAGACACAGAGGGATGTGCAGCAGTATTGTCAGGGAAGCATTAGGCTCGCTCCCTCCCTCCTCCCCACACCAGCAGGCACTTACTTAATTAGCCCCGGCCCCAATAGCGAGGGAGTTAATTAGCTCTGGAGAGAGAGATAATGAAGCTGCAGAGCAGCCCATGAATCTTGTGGCTGATGGATGCTGGGGGGCTGAGGCAGTGCTGATGCCCCCACTCACTCCCCACAGCTCTGCACCAGGGCTAGGGGACACCCATAAGGCAGCACCGAGCCCATCCACAGCCTACAGCTGGCCCCAGTGTGAGCCCTATGGCCGTACCAGCCACTCACCACACACCCCTGAGTGCAACAAGTTTGTGGTGTCCCAGCCCAACCCAAAAGTCAATCTCTGCAGCTCCACAGCCAGGTGGGGACCCTCACCCTTCCAATTGGCAGGGCAGGCGGGTGACTGCCCCTCTCTGCCCTCCCTCACCCCTTGCACAGCCAGTCCCAAAGCTCCCGCACCCCCCTCAGCCTTTCCCCGTTAATTAGCTCGGCATTAACCTCTGCCTGGGGTTTACTGGCTATCGAGCGACTTGTTCATTAATCCACACACCAGCAAAAGGCTCTAATTAATACGGCCGGCCACACGCCCGCGCTCGGCAACTTTTAATTGTCGCAGGCCCGGCCGGGGAGGGCGAAGGTTAAAGCATTTATCGAGTCCCCGCGAGCCGCTCGGCTCCCCATGCCGATAGCAAAGATTTCCAATGAGGATGGGTTTGGCTGGCGAGCCCTTAACCCCTGGGTGCCCGGCGCTGCCTGGATTGCTGGCCCCGCTCCAGCAAGCCGCAGGCATCCCTGAGAGGTGCCGATGGTGGCATCCTCACCAGGCACTAACAGGGAGCCCTAATGGGCATTGCCAAGGGCATTCCCACCACGCATCCCTAAAACGTCCTGAAAACTGCTAATAGGCATCATTAAGGGGTGTTGCTAATGCTTGTCCACCAATGGATATGTTAATGGACATCCCCACCAGGTGTTTCTAGCGGGCATCCCTGCTGGGCATCGCTAATGGGCACGGGGTATCGGCAGGCATCGACAGCTGCCGCAGCTTGGGGTCGGGGGGGGGGCCAGGGGGAGCATGCCTGAGGGTTTTGCAGAGCCGTGGAGCAGCTCAGAACCTGAGAACAACATACCGTGAGCCCCCCCACCAGCAGCCGAGGCAGGGGTGGCAGTGACACCCACCCCAGCCACCCACCTTTACCTCTCTTCTGCATGAAGCCAAAGAGGTCATCCAGGAACTCCTTGCGTTTCGGGTCCTCATCCAGTTCATAGAGCTGGAGACAGGAGACAGAGAGGGGTCAGTGCTTCCAGCACATGCAGGTGAGAATGGAGAGGGGAGCAGTGCCTGGGGCGAAACACTGCCTGTGCCAGACCCTGGCATCACCTCTGGCCCCACCTGCCTGCTCTGCTATCAACAAGAGGCTCTCTGTGCACCACTAACAGAATCCTCTGACACACCCTCCGCCTGCGTGGTCTCTCCCCGTGCCTGGGGTCTGGCATGGGGCTCCCCACAGACCACTGACTACTTCGAATCTTTGCTGCAGAAATGCTGAGTCTGTGCCTCAGTTTGTCCTGCCCCTCGCCCTCTTAGGTGCAAGAATCACAGCCCAGTGGCATCAGCAAACCCCAAGCCCCAGACAGGACCCCAGGATCGCAATGCTCAGCTCTGCTCTGGCACTGCCGAGTGCTAGTGGTCCCCGAGTCCCACCATGGGATCAGCGTCCTCCTCAGCCCTCATCCCCCACAGGGACACAGGCCCACCCGAACAGTGCGGGCTGATCCCATCCTGGGGAAGGAAAAGTTGGCTTGACCATGGCACTGGGCACCATCGAGGGAACTGCAAGTGCTGGGGCTGCCGTGTGCACAGGATTGCACAAACACAAACGTGGCAATGAGGATACTTCTGTGTGCTGGGTGGTCTGGACACACGGACACAGCCTGAGGGACAGCACTGGGGGGGTGAGTGCAGCCCCTACAGCAGGGACACGAAGTGCCAGCTCCGTGCGAAAGTCCAGGCTCGCCTGATTCCAGCACAGCGCCTGAGTGACCATGACAAATTGGAGCCTGCCAGATCGATGGCCCAGCAGTAAAAGTCAGAGCACATGAAGGAAAAATTAGCACCAATCGAAGACACTATAGACACCAATTCCTCCCAGCAAGCCCGGCAAGAATTTAAAGCCATTGAAAAGAAACAAAACTCAGCAGTCCAGAATGGATTTCCAAAACATATACAAAGAAATGCAAGCTGGAAAACAAAGTCAGGCACAAAATAGAGTCGTTTAAAACACAATTGTGCTGGGAAAGGCCGTTAAAAACCAATAGAAATGGAGCACACCCCCACTCCACACAGAACATCATTCACCAGAGAGATAAAGGGAGCTGCGCTTAAGGGTCGTCAGACTACAGGGACAGGGGGATGTGGGGATGGGGGGTGGATGCCATGGGGACACATGAATGCAGCGATATGGGAATGTAGGAATGTGGGTTGTGGGACTCAGGGAACGCAGAGGTAGGGTGATGCAGGGACGCAATGGGGACACATGAATACAGGGACATGGGAATGTAGGGATGGCAGAATGTGGGCACCTACAGGGATGTGAGGATGCTTCTACAGACCCCATCACTGAACACACACACCTAACACAGTCCCTTGTCTAACTCAGGTGCCAGCTGTCTGTCCCTTGTCAGAGACAGAACGGTGCTAACTGCCTGTCCCTAGCTTCGTCTCGGGTACAACTACCAGACTCATACCATACCCACAGGTGATGAACGCCTGGCTCCATGCAGCTCCTCCTTTGCTGCTTCCCTTCTCTCTGGATCCCACTTACCTATCACCTCCTTGCTGCTGTGTGCTCTTGGATAGCCCCGGGTGCCAGTACCGTGTCCCTCTCCGCTACAGTGTTCCCTGCCTTGCTCTGTGCCCCATCCCCAACGTCTGCTCTTTTCCAGGAGGTCCCTGAGCCATTGATTACAGTAACTAGGTCAGGCTCTGAGCAGAGCTCCAGGAAGCTGCTTTGATTTCTGCCCCAGGAAGGCTGTCAGCCAAGCTTTGCCTGCATTTCCCTGCCTGTCCCTGCCTCTGGAAGGCCTCCACACCAAGCGCTTTGACATCCCGTGACATCTGGCTTCTCAAGGCAGGGGCAAATCCCCAAAACTGGCAACTACCACTCTTCCCGCTGCAAGGTTACCTTCCCGAGGGGTTACCCATGGATGGACTTCAGCACCCACACACCTCTGCCCTGGGTGCCACCCGTGTTTCTCTTCCCATAGATGCAAGCAGATCTCACTCAGACTGCTACTGACTCCAGCCCCCAAAACAGGTGTGACCTCCAAGGGCCAGGTTCTATTTTTCCACTGTTTATTAACCTCTAACCTTTTATCTGTGGGGCACTGAGATGCAAAAACACATTACATCAAACAGGGAGCAAAGGTCAGCTTTTAAGTGGAGATGAGAGCAGAGCTGAGTAACTGGGGACAAGCTGGCACAGCCCTTGGGTACGCCTGGGATGCACGGGGTGTTCCATGAGATTTGGGGATGCTCAGGTTGAAGAAGAGGTCTCCCAGGCACACACAGTCGCTGTGCAGGGACACATGCGTCACCTGGGTGTACATAACCCCACACGGGCTGCCACTATCCCACGTGGGGGTGCACAAGCCCATGTGAGCATATACAACCCTACTCAGGCATGCACAACTACGCCTGGGCTTGTGTGCACAAGTGTGCACGGACTTGTGTGGGTCCACTCAACCCCACATGAGTGTGCACACTCGTGGGCATTGCACATCTCCACACAAGCACAAGGCAGAACCCTGCACAGGGACACAGATCTCCCCTAGTGCCACACAAAAGGTGGAATGGGCAATCCTGCACAACCTTGTGTTGGTGTGTGCAGCCCCACAGGGGCACGCAGAACATCGCAGGAGTGTGCACAAGCCTGTGATGCACATGCACACACAATCTACACGAGCACAAATCCTTACACAGCCACGTCTGGAAGTGAACAGCCTCCTACAGGCATGTACAGCAGTCTGGTGTGTGCCCAGACTTCCACAGACACACACCAGACTGCAGGAACATCCACAACTCCATACATACATCACGGGCACGCACTCCAAATGTGCACACACAACCCCAGATGGAACATGCACATTGCTGTATGTGCACCCACCACCCAAGACTGGAACACACACCACCAGACAGGCATTCACAACCCCATATATACATGCACAACTCTGGAGCAGCACGTACAACCCCAGAACAGAACACACAACTCTAGCCAGGCATGCACAACCCTAGAGAGGCACACACAAATCCCAGTTAGGCATGCACAGCCCCAAATGGGCAAAGAGAGCCCCATACATGCGTGTACAACCCCAGACAGACATGCACAACCCCATATATGCACACACAAATCCTGTATGTGCATCCACAACCCCAGATGGGCACACAGAGCCCAGAACAGGAATACAGAACTCCAGAAAGAGATATACTGTCCCACACATGCACACACAACCCCAGACAGGTACGCCACATGGATGGGCACTCCTGACCCTGCAGGGCACGTGTGTCCCAAGAGCATCCCCCCGCCATGTGCCTTGCAGCAGTGGTCTGAGCCTTGCCCAGGGACAGTTGTGCAACACAACCCGCGGCTCCTGCTTGCGGTGACCTATGAGCAAGGACCCTTTTAATCGTGTTTGTATTGATATAATTAGTAACTCATTTAACGCCATCGATGTAACTATATTCCTCTATAAACGGAAGTATTAAACTGTCAAGCCCCAGGATCGATATCCCGGTGGTGTGCAGTACAGCCCTGCTCTGCCGACCTCGGGGACCCACCCATGCTTGGCCACCCCACTAGCCTTGGAACCCTAGCAGCACCCCACCTCCACCTGGCACTGCTGGCCTGGGTGCTTGTGCTGGACTAGTTCAGTCTGTCCTCATCCCACATCCCACACTGGGTGCAGCTCTGGGACCTGCTCCCTCCTGTCATCCCATTGCCATGGCGACGTCTATATTCCTTAAGGGATGGGGATAACGGTGCTTGTCAGGCAGGTTAAAGGTCAGCGGGTCGAACATGGTTTATTAACAGGACCTGAATAGACCTTGGGCTTCTTTCTCCTCCTCCTCCTCCCCACGATTAAGCAACATTGTTAGCACCACTCATTCACCAAGGAGATGACTTTCCTGGAGCCAGGAGGGCTTCTAGAGATGAAGCCTGGGACCCTGAGATCCGTTAGTCTAGCTGACACCCTAGACAGCTAGGAGGTCAGAGGAAGGATGTGACAAAGTGCCAAGCCACCCCCCAGGCACTTCAGCTTGCCCCTTCCTGGTGAGTCCCCACTCAGTCCCCCCTGGACCCTGCTGCCAAAGGAAGCAATCCCAGTGGGACCTCCACAGTCCCCGCTCAGCTGCCACCTCCTGCTGGCAGCAAGGGCTCAGATAGGCAGCCAGGATTTAATCCACTTAATATGAGCTGTATCGATCCTGGATCCTGCTCAGCTCCCCCCCACCATGCAAACCCCCCAACCCTGAGCTGCTTAATATCCACCACATTGATTAGCCACACTGCTAATTTTTCCATCTGGCCACTGTTCACGCAGCGCACCCAGGTAATGCTCACCTCCCTGCACCCCCCAGCCACACACCACGGGTGGCTGACTGCTGATGTACTGTTTTGGAGTCACTGCACCTCTCCAGAGCTCGACTGTTGCCTCTGAGATCCTTCCCAAGGAAGATGGTTACAGCACAATCAGGCACCCAGACACTGGTGTTGTCCCTGGGCGCTGCTGGCATGCCTCAGTTTACCCTGCAGGTAACCGCAGGATCTGGCCATTCCCAGTTGAGGCACAGCCCTGAGCACGCTGGGGTTCAGGAGCCCCAACGGTATCCACAGTTAAGAGTCTTCCTTTCTATGGGGCACACATAACGAACTAAGGGTTTGCAGGTCCCTCCCCGCCCATCCCCATTGCCAGAGCTGGGGGGCAGTTCACTCCCCGCCAGGCACGAACCACCCCCTGACCTTGCAAGCCACCACTCGCCTCTTCCACCAGTTGTTAATAAGTTAATGGTTACGGGACAGCTTTGCCGGGACGGCCGGCTGCATTCGAAGGCAGTGCTGGCTCCTGGGGGGACACTGCTCCCCGACCCCACAGCCCTGAGGGGTGCGGGGTGCTCACTCATCCCAAAACCACCAACCTCAGCAGCCACCCCACTAGCGTGGCCGGACATCTCTGTTTGGGGACCTCTCCCAGCCCTGTGGTTCCCCCTCAA